ACAGCCTTTAAGGTTGCCGGAAACGTCGTTTTCTTGTTTTATTAATAATCTTATTTTAATTTGGCGAGTTTTTACCACTACTTTATAATCTATTTTGCATTTTATTATTTCCTCGCCTACGCAATTATTTTATTTCTGGAACTATGTTCACTTCTACTTCTAGGCCTAGCTTTGTAAACAACGTTTGATCACAATCTACGAGACTACTGGTACATTAAACAAACACCCTAAATGACTAACTGTTTATCTTACTGAATAACTTACTGGCTGACACTAAACTGAAACACCCACTGATAACTCATTAACTAATTGAACACTTCACGGATTGTGGCACTAACATTGTTCTCGTTTACTTCTTATTACACCAGGTCTCTAAATCATTACATCATCATCATGATGTAATGACACCCTCCCTCTAGCAAAGAAACACCTAAATTGAAATAAAAATTACAAAAATGCGTATAAGTTGTATTGTATTTTGGGTAGTAATAAATCTATACCTAAAATATATTGGAAGTTATATTCTTAAAATGTTGATGACAAGGTTTTATTTCATAAGTCAAATTCTCACTCAGTATCACCATAGTTCTGTAACTAGGTATCTTCTTGATCAATTGTGTAATATTGTTGGATTATTGGAAGATTCTCTGTTTCAGCTAATTCAATCTATGTTGTTTGTTTGTTCTGTAAAGCTAGAAATGAACAGTTTTTGTGAACAGTTGTATATAAAAGACATACAGCATTCATTATTTACGTTTTATTGTTTACTTCGATGCTCGAGGAAATGGATCTACGCCTAGTTCCTCTCTGGATTGTGTTAATCTCGTTCAATCTCCCCATGGCGATGTTGAGAGAACCGAGGAACAACGGTCACTTACTTAACAAGGGCTCTTCAAGTATTTTTCATGATGAAAAGTAAGAAAATCTTCAAAGAAGGGTCTTAAAAGATGATAAATAATTTGTATAATAAGATTTTATAAAGCTGTGTTTTTTAAATTTTATTTTAGAGATTTGCAGTCTCCTCTTGTCGAGAAATTCCAAAAGGTAGCTAAACCTTTCTCAAGCAAAGTAAAGTATTTGGTTTTAACAAATTAATATTAATCCTGTTGTCTCTCAAAGTTTCTGGAAATATGTTTTAAATTTTTGAAAATCGGGATTTACCGAAATAAATAAATTAAAATTTCAATAATAATAATAAATCCAGTTGCATACAGAATTATCACAATCTTCTTTCCGTAAATTAACATCTGCAGAATTAACGTTACCGTTGTTTTATAATATGGGAAGAAATTAGCGTTTGGGAATGTATGATAGTAGCATATATTTGCTTTCTGTATGAGAATTTATCCCCAATTTTTTTTTTATTCTACCAGACAGTTTTTCTTTTGGTATTAATCAGTGTTGTATATATATACATATACTCATCCAGGTATATCAACTAATCCAATGAACACATATATTTAAATACAGACACATTCGAGCAGATCTCTCTAGCTACTTCGGTGTCAATATGGACGAACCTTTGACGAACAGTGAAGTAGGAGTGTATTTCTTTCAGTAAGTGTTTGACGAAATATATGTTTCAGAGTTATCTGTTGACAATGTTTAAAGATAGCCTAAATCCATTGTAGTCAATTTAAAGCACATGGTTTGATTTGTTTTGAATTTCACGTAAAGCTACACGAGAGCTATCTGCGCTAGCCGTCCCTAATTTAACAGTGAAAGATTAGAGTGAACACCACTTACCGCAAACTCTTGAGCTACTTTTTGACCAACAGATAGTGGGATTGACCGTTACATTATAACGCCCCCATGGTTGAAAGGGCGAGTATGTTCGGTGTGACGGGAATTCGAATCCGCGACCCTCAGATTGCGTGTCGAGCGCGTTTTCCACCAATCCATGCCAGACCATAGAGCACAGGGTTAGATCGACTTAACTTTGTCGTCAGTGATGTCGCGTATAAGAGGCTTGGGAAGGCTTAGCCACCTGAATGGATGAAAATAAATTATTCATCTCTGACCCCCGAGAAGAAATCCCTTTTGAACACCACTAACGAACTAACAAACATTCTACTCAAATAAAATGTCCTTTAAAGAGTATTATTTTCCCCATGTCAAAAATATTATACAGGATATATAATATAATAACCTACCCAAACGAAAAACTCACGCGTTAGGTCGTTAGTAAAGTTTCATTATATCCAATTTAATATACAGTGTTTCACTTTCAAGCAAAACATGTGAAATACATAGGTTCTCAATTGCGAAAATGCGGTTAATCTATCT